ATTGAGTTCTGCCATCAAATAATTTTGTGATTCACAAAGTTTTAAACTCAATCTTCAGAAAGTCTACTTATCTTAATTCTCAAAATTCACACCTTACCATCTTTAATATAAAAAAATCTCTAAAATTGGTTTCATAATATAATAAAATATTATTGGTTAATGTTTACATACAAAGTTACATGTCCAGTAAGAGAAAAAAATGTATATAATAACATTTGTATTTCCAGGAAGAAGAATTAGAGCGATACATCCAGGAGAGCCAGGCGCTGGCAAAGCGAAGCTGTGGCCTCTTCCAGAAATTAGGAGAATATTACTTACAAAATGCGTATGTTTTTGTAAACAGTCTTTTTAGTGATTTAAAATTATTAACAGGCTAGAGAAATATAAATCTACATTAGTGACCTGCTATGGCAGCTAACCAAGAGTTTGCAGTTCGAATTCACCAGATGCTCCTTGGAAACTCAGTGGGGCAGTTCTACTCTGTCCTGTAGGGTCGCTATGAGTCGGAATCGACTTGACGGCAACAGGTTTGTTTTTTTTTTGTTTTATTAGTGACCTGTGACTGTTCTGAATTTCAGCCCCTACTTCCGATTGGAAGTCAGTGTGATGTGATTGCCCAGTTCCCACTGCTTGAGGGCAGCTTTCCCTGGCCCCCTCTTTGAGGGAGCAACTAGATTGGCCTGTGGAGTCTGATCTGTGACTCTGGTTTGAGTTCTTCAAACGGCACAAATTCTTGGAGAAAAGATATCCATTCTTTTGTAGTTAAAACACCAAAGTATCAAAATTAAAATCAACAAAATTTTTTAAGTTGGGATCTGGAGCCAGTCTTCTACCCAGAGTTTCTTTTCTTGGTATGATATGTTGGTGTAATAGGACATATAATAGGTGGTTGTTAGAGTAAATTCACATCAAAAGTTGACCCACATAGAATGTGGATGAAGCAAATAAACTGACCTCATGTCTTTTTATACCACAAGCAGCTAGCGTAGAGGGTCCTTGAGAAGGAGCAAGGAGCCCACATCTCATGAGTGACTCACCAAGCCTTGTGGGAAATGCTTCTTTCAGGTTTCTTGTTGCTTACACGAAGAAAGCTCCTCAGCTGACCACACCGGAGCTGATCTCCATCACCAGGAAAATGGCTGCCACAGGAGCCACTTGCTGCCATCTCAGTGAGGACAAGCAATTGGCCTGTGGTGAGGGCGCAGTGAGTACCTGTCTTTTCAGTCCTATCTCATTTCAGCCCTGTTTTACTTTAAATAGCTTCGTCATTTCCATTTAGGGGAATTGGTAAAAACCAATGTGGGGGTGGCTTTACTGGGCTTGTTCAATGCATTGCATTTGGAGGGGGCGTGAGAACTCAGCTCTGCCCGGTTGGCAAACAGTCAGGCTTTCTGTCCTTCTAGAATGGCTGCTAGAAGTACAGCCAGTTTATTCATCAATATCTGAGCAAGTTTTTGTGCAGGAAAGATGGGATGGGCAAAAAGTTATTCAATTCATGATTTTCTCTTTTTTCTTCACTAAATAGTTTAATGTATAAAAAAGATATGTCTAAATTAAAATCAGTCATTTTATTTTTAGCCATATTTACATTTTTGCGTTTTGTGGCTTAATTTGTAGTATAATCTTGTTCTTATGTTATTATGGACAATTTGTTCTCTTTGTCAGTCATGGGTGAGTCCTATGTTCGGAATAGTAAATTGAGTTTTCAGTTAGTTAGGCTAATAATCTTTAGTGGCTAATATTACCAATGTCATACATATGATTATAGGTACAATTTTTAAATTATTTTTCTCTTAAGGACACAGTTGTGGACAAAATTGTATAGCTATTTCTTCCCTTTTCCTCTTTCTGATGACAGGGAATTTTTTGCTAGTTAGTCTTAAAAATTTTCACTAATGGTCAGGAGTGAAAGGAGAGTTTCCTGTAATTAAACGTTATCTTTATCGTTTATTGAAGTCCACACATGGGGAGGAATTAGGGGAAGCAGGATGTTGCAATGGTTCAGGAGTGTAGGTTCTGGAGGCCGCCTGACTATATTTCCATTCTACCTTTACTACTTATTAGTTGTGTCACATTGGGCAAGTTATTTATCTCCCTAAGCTTGGGTTTTTCATCTGAAATTTGAGACTCATACAATGGCTGTCTCAAAGGAGGTAATCCACCTAAGTCACTTAGCACTAGTAAGGTACATAGTATGCATACGAAACATGTTAACGCTTATTACTAATTATTAATGAACCAGATGCCATCAAGTTGATTCCACCTCATGGTGACCCCATGTGTGTCAGAGTAGAATTATGCTTCTTAGGGTTTTCAGTGGTTGGTTTTTCAGAAGTAGATCACCAGGCCTTTCTTCCCAGGTGCCTCTGGGTGGATTCAGACCTCCAACCTTTCCTTTAGCAGTGAGCAGGTTAACTTTTGCACCACCCAGGGACTTCAAATTATTACTAGGTGCTAAAGAAATATCACTGACGTGTGGAAGGTAGGAGGAGTCTACATTAGGAGAGCCTTTAGCACTTAAAGACACATATTAGCATTGGCTGTATTTCTTTTCAATTGGGAGTATACAATTAGGATGATTTGTAGATTTACATAGAAAGGTAAACCACGTATTGATTTTTTTAGTTCAAAGCCAAGTTTTTTTTTTTTAAATTCCATTGGAGGTATGTATATAACTGGAAAAGTGTATCTAATAAAACAGAAATAGCTGTCCAATGTCACATATGGAACATCTGTTACTAAATGCTGAGATTTAGCCCCCCAAAAGGAGTGAGTGTTGGAATCTAAAGTATGGCATCGCATGATCTTGGAGAACCCAAAACCAGAGTCACAAATCAGACCTCACAGGCCAATCTAGTTGCTCCCTGAAAGAGGGGGCCGTGGAAGTTGCCTTTATTCAGGGGAAATTGGCCAATCAGATTCAGGTTAAGGTGTGATAAGGCAGCAAATTTTCCTGTAATATAAATAATTATGTATTAAAAATTATTATAACAGTT